AGGGTTTCGGGTTTAGGATTTAAATATAGGATTTAGAGCTTGTAGAGTTTAAATGGTAGTTGTTGTAACTTTATTTCAAGGCATTGAAGCATGGGCGGCAGTTTCCGAAGCAAATTCGAAGTAGTGGCCGGACAGCTGTTTGCTGACAGCCATACGCTGCGTCCTAAACCCACCTGTATTTTGCTTTCTGTGAAGCACGGCAGGCTCCGCAGCCAAATCGGTTGAGGGTCTTGGGTTGGGTTTAGTCCCAAATGAAGCTTAACAACACATTATACAATGGGGTTTGGGGTTCGTACCAAAACCTCGAATATTCTAACGAATAGTTTCACATGACATACTCTACAACAGCCCAAACTCCTGATTTCTCCATTGCATTCCATAGGGCCTAGGATCCTGGACGGTCGCTGCAGCATTGAAACAAATTGATGCCAAACAGGCTCACTCCAGCAGATGTCCCTGCCTCGGGATTGAGGGTTTGGGGTTTAGGGTTTGGGGTTTAGGGTTTAGGGCCAGTTTAGGGTTTGGGGTTTGGGGTGGGCATCGGCCTAAATACTAAAACCCCTGGACAGGGGTTTTGGGCTTAGGATAAAGAGGTTTCACGACAGGGGTGACGGTAAAGCGATTTCCGGATGAGGTGGGGTTGAGGGACAAATTTCAGGATGTGGAGGGTTCGGGTTTACGTCAAGAGGGTTGCTTCGAGGGGTGCGTGCCATGAAACTCGACATGAGCCGCCTCCTTCACGAGCTGATTGCAGCTTGGTCGGGTAGAGTTTTTAAGGCTAAGGGGTAAAGGTCAGACTCCCATGACCTATGGCTTGACCCACAAAACCCTAACCCTAAACCCGAGCCTGAACCCGAAATCCTATGGCTGGGGCTACTGGAAGGTCTTAGAGGAAACCACGCCCGAAACTACAGGGCCTTAGCAAGTAGAGTAGGGTTCTGAGGTTGTGGTACAAGTATAGCCAGAAACCCTTACGGCTGAGGAATAGCCCGGTATTTATTCAAGCTTCCAGGGCATCCTAAATTGAGCCAGGCAGCGTTGCTCTGTTGGCTCTTTCGCGCCTTGTTCGTGCCTCCAGGGGAGCAGGTTGACGGCAAGTCTCAAAACGGAAACGCACCAGCAACTCTGGCAACGGAAACACGCCCTCTAGGGGCCTTTCTACTTGGAATAGGGTTTTGGGGTATATACTACATCTCCTACACAAGCAGCGCAACAAGCAGAACCATCATATAGTAGCGTTAGTGCATCCTAAACCCCAAGATTGCTCCATCTACTGTTTTCTTAGACTCTATGCGGAACAAAGTGCCAACACTCTTAAACACAGGACCCTAAACTTATTCCTAAACCTTAAACCCCAAAACAGCCTATAGACCCTAAACCTTGTGCCTAAACGGCCTAAACTCTTAAACACAAGACGCTAAGCTTTTCCTAAAGCATAAACCCCAAAAGACCCTATAGACCCTAAGCCTTAAGCCCCACAAGCCTCTACACCCTATCTAAAACCCTAAACCCTAAAGCCCTAAAGCCTAAACCCTAAAGCCCTATAAAGCCCAAACCCTAAAGACCTAAACCCTAAAGCCCTAAACCCTAAACCCTGAGCCCTAAACCCTAAACTCCCTAAACCCTGAACCCTAAACCCTAAACCCTAAAACCCTAAAGCCCTGAGCCCTGTGCCTCGCAGCAGGTCCAGCGACTTTCCGGCGAAGTGTCGCACCACGTCACTCCCTGGGCGCCGGAGCCTCGGCGCTAGGGGTTTTGGGTTTTAGGGTTTTAGGGTTTAGGGGTTTGGGGTTTAGGGTTTTGGGGTTTTTGGGTTTTGGGTTTAGGGTTTTAGGGTTTTAGGGTTTAGGGTTTAGGGTTTTAGGGTTTAGGGTTTAGGGTTTTTGGGTTTAGGGTTTAGTGGCTATTAAAGCTATTACTGACCGTTAGTATCATTTCTAGTTGTTATGATTTTTGTGAGCATTCATGTTGCTCTTAAGGGCCCTGTGAGTGTGTAGTTTAAGGCGCAGAGTTGTGGGGTATAAAGGTTTTGGGTACTTCGGGTTTGGCGTGTAGGATTTTGGGCAGTTTGGGGTCTTGGGGTTACCTTAGGTTCAGGGCTGTTTGTGCTCAGGGTGTCGTATGGTTACGCAGCCCTATGGCGCCCACACCCGAAACCTGGGGACAGGGTTTAGGGTTTAAAGGGTTTAGCCATAAAACCCTACCCTAAACCCTAAACCCTAAACCCTAAAACTAAACAAGGAAGAGCCGTGTGGCGAGCTCCAGAAGCTGCAGCGGAAGAAGTAGGTCTTGCGGCTCTGTAGGTGCCGGGTCTCCTCCTTGAGAGGCTTGCTGCTCGTGTAGGGCTCCCTTCAGCCTTAACAAAACCTACTTTTTTGGGATCCCTTTTTATAGATCCCATATCAGGGCTATTGGAGTGAGAACCTACAAAAAAGGGGTCGGGCTGGGTAATGGGACCCTAAACCCTAAACCCATAAAGGGACCCTAAACCCTAAACCCTAAACCCCAGGGACCTTGGACCTTTGGCTTCAGTGTACATGGGATGTGGCGTGCTATTTCATGGGGGGGCTTCTGGAGATTTGGGATCCCTCCAGAACCCCGCCAAGTGCCCTTTAATGGAGCCCTGGTGGGGTCCGGGTCCTTCGTAATTCTTGGGTGGTTCGGGTCTGTTGGATAGTAGGTGGACAGGGTCGAGGCTTATTTGGAGCTTTCGGCTCTAGGATGTGCGGTGGCGACGGCCAAGACCTGAGCACCCGCGAAGATCCGAACGCAAAGCGAGACCAATCCACCATCACCGCAAGGCCGGAAGAGTAAACTCCCCAAAGCTTAAGCCACACAAACGAACGGGGACGAAGACCCCGACAAAGCTCCAAGGATTAAATCATCGGCCCGAGTTTCTCCGTTGTCCGTGAGGGTGTAGAGGACAAAGTGGAGCGGAGGTCTACCGCAGTACTGATTCCTTGGGAAAGCTTAAGATTTCGGGCTATTCCTTCGGCTCACGACGCGAGTTCGATACCGGTGATGGATGTTTGGAAGAAGGAATGCAGGGAAGGTTTGCGCAGTTGTATTTTGTGGTACTACAACTATCTAGGTACACAACCTCACCCCTAAACCCTAAACCCACCAAGAATCTGCCGCGAAGCCTAGATGTTGAACCTTAGAGGCTGAACCTTGACCTTGAAACCTTACTGTACTAGGGCATGCGCTATAGTTAGAATGGGGTATATTCTGATTTAATTATTACAAAAGAGACCTCTCACTAATCATTCAGGAACCTAACGAATCCATGCCGATACAAACCATTCCAGAGCTCAACCGTTAAATGCAAAAAAGTTCCCTACTCTACTACATAAGGGCACGCCGCTACTCTCAAGACCTTCCAAAATCCTTTAATCAAGGAACATACCTTGAATCGTATTCGGACTTAAGTTATATATTCCTTCATTGAGGGATTTTGGAAGGTCTGGGTACACTTGATCAAAAAAGCCCTCAACCCTAAACCCCTAAACCCCTAAACCCTAAAGCTACACTCGCAAAAGGCTGCCAAGTGGCAGGTCGAGAGGGGTGAACATGGGGATGCCCGTGGCCTGCCACCTTGGCTGCTGTCTCGGCAATACGGGACCCTTTATATAGACCCTACAGGTTTAGGGTCTACCTTAACCTACCAAAACCTGCTTTTCTGTAGGGCCCCTATGAACCCCATAGGAAGGTTTGTGTTTAGCACCTACAAACGGCCGGTTCTGGTAGGTTAAGCTAGGGCGCGAGCAAATTTCTGAGGAGGGCGGATGCACCTGGCATAAGGAACTCCTAAACCCTAAACCCTAAACTCCAAACGTGCTGCAAGTAGGACTTCGGCCTAAAAGGCATTTTCGGTACGGCTCGCTGGGGTAATTCCGACCGGTAGCACTTATGGACCTCGGAGGAACATACATGCATATATATATATATATACATACATACACATATGTCAATAATTACATATATATATACATACATACATACATACATACACATATGTCAATAATTACATATACATATATGCATATATGTATAAGCATATGTACATTTATGCCACATGAACATATGTATTTGTCTATATGTATACAACCAAATACATACATATATATATATACATATATACTTATTGATTTATCTATTTGATTATTTATGTACTTATTTGTTTATTTATTTATCATTATTTATTTAAATATTTCTCGACTGTGCCGAGTCACTGGAGGACGTCGCAAAAGCGGCTCACACCCCAGAAGCAAAACCTCAAAGCGCTGTTGTCTTGGAGGGTTTAGGGTTAAGGGTTTGGGGTTTAGGGTTTAGGGGTCCGGGCAGATGCTTTACGGTTTTCGGTGGGGTGTGGGATTTCAGCTTACGGTTTAGGGGCGTAGGGGTTTAGGGTTTAGGTGTGCATGTGCGTGTGTGTGTCTCTGTGTGTGTCTGCGAGGGATTTGAATGTAAGGCATCGCAGGGAATGTGGCAATTTCTGCCTGCAGTGGGCATACAGAAGAACAGTTTGGAATTACTTTTTATCAACATCTGTACAAGCATTTCCGTACCAAAACACCCCACCACCCCCCCGTCCGGAACCCCCAAAACCTGCTCAGTCATTTATCGCAACCTACACAGGAAAGGCTTCGAGTTTACGGCCAATGGTTGCATGTGGCTTACCACAAAGCTTGCAGGGTTTAGGGGGTCGCGTTTGGGCTTTGCGCTTAAAGACGAGGCCAAGCAAAAAAATCCAGAAACCCGAAACACCAACGCGGAAAGCAAACTCTCGAATCTCAAAAGCACACCGCGCACTCCAAACACCTGAAACATAACCCTACACTAACAAGACAGCTAAGTGGCACAACCCTGCACCAAAACCGTCGTCCCCAAAAAGCGCTATTACGAGCCCAGTTAAAAGACAGCCATCACAAGGAAAAAATATGAATGAATGAATGAATGAATGATTGATTGATTGATTGACTGATTGAATGAATGAATGGATGAATGAATGAATGATATGTTCGTGCATGAGTAAGTAAGTAAGTAAGTAAGTAAGTAAGTAAGTAAGTAAGTAAGTAAGTAAGTAAGTAAGTAAGTAAGTAAGTACGTAGGTAGGTAGGTAGGTAGGTAGGTAGGTTAGGTATGTTAGGCAGGTTAGGTGGGTTAGGTAGGTTAGGTAGGTGCGTATGCATGAATGAATGCATACACTCACATATCATGCAAAAGCATATTCAAATTGTACATGTGTGTGTATGTATGTATGTATGTATGTATGTATGTATGTATGTATGTATGTATGTATGTACATATGAACATATGTACATATGTACATATGTACATATGTACATATGTACATATGTATGTATGTATGTATGTATGTATGTCTGTATGTGTCTGTATGTGTCTGTATGTGCACATGTCAATATGTAATATATATATATGCATATATATATATGCATATATATATATGCATATATATATGCATATATATATATACATATTATGTATATTAATAAAGAAATAAATAAATTAATTTATAACATATTGAAAAGCTGCAAGGGGCGTGAAGGTAGGGCCTGGAACCAGCTCTAAGGCATCGAGTGATCGCCGATACTCGCGCAGCTGACCGAAGCCTCTGAGGGTGATAGGCCCCTAAGTAGTTCCTTTTGGGGATTACCTTATAGGATTCTGAATATAAACCACAAGAAGTAACTACTTAGGGGTCTTTGGGTCTAGGGAGCTAGGGAACTTCAGAGTCGGGGGTTTCAAGCTTCAGGATGATTCAGGATTCGGGGTTTAGGTCAGTTTAGGGTTTTAGTGTGATATAGTTTGGGGTTCAGGGTCTATCTGCGGGAATTCGAGGATTTAGAGCTTTTGCTTTGTAGGGCTTGAATGTCTCGGTCTTCCTGTCTTCGGGCACAACAGCGGAATCTTCAATCATCATACCAGTCGTTTAAATTACTTGCACGAATGTAACGAATATGAGACTGGGATTAACAAAATTACTCAACGAGCCAGTAGCTACGGTAGATATGCTGGTCGGCTAGTCGCTTATACAACTGCCGCCTTCATGTACAACTGCTTGCAGGAACTGCCCATTACCGTGTGACGGCACAGTATTCCTTCTTGAGCACGACGACGGCAACCATACAACACCAGAAGAAAATTCCAAACTCGGCCACAACGGTGACGATTGCTTCCATGACTAAGAACAAGCTGTCATCATCAACGCCAAGCTCAGATGTTAGTCATGATTCCGCTTCGCCGCATCCTGGCTCCATACCTCCCTCACTTGAGATATACAAAGACTAGGTGTCTCAGACTTGAAGCCCAAGGGTCTAAGGCTTCAATGGTGCAACGATCCAGCATTGTTGCTAGTCCGAAGTTGGTTGTGTGCAAGGACGGCGGTTTGGGGGGGGGCCAGGTTTTTGGACGTGCCTGGGAACATCCAGATCCAAAGACACATAAGACTTGATTCCTTTATTCGCGCCTTTTTTGAGCAAACATCATCGAACGACCTCCCTGTAAAGACGGTCCAAGGCAGAAATGTTCGCTTATGGCAAACAGTATATAAGAACGAAACGGAGACATGATTATTATGTAACTTCAGACCCCTACAGTAACTCAGCCAAAGTGGCGCTTATGGCCCATGTTGGGTAGATCCGGATCTGTGAGCTCCGGTGGGGCCTCACCTGAAGCTTTCCAAGCCAGGGCTTCAGAGCTTCACCGGTTAATTCTGGGATGGGCGGCGACATTCATTGGAATCAGGGCATCTACGGTGGTGGTGTTGTGAGGTTCCAGGAAGTAGACGAAGTCAGGTGGTGGTCGATACGAGTCAGCAGACCTCTGTCATACACACGCCACCTGCCCCCATTCACCCCTAAATCTTCAACCCTTAAAACCTCTAAGCCCTAAACCCCTAAACCCTAAAACCTCTAAGCCTTAAACTCCGAAACCCCAAAACCTCTAAGCCTTAAACTCCTAAACCCTAAGCCGTCCCGCTTCCGCCTTCAGGCGTGACGATGTACTGATCGAAAGCCCAGAGGGGCAGGGTGATCGCTGGTCGCTCGCGCTCTCCCTCCACCTGAGGCTTAGGGTTTAGGGGTTTAGGGGTTTAGGGGTTTAGGGCTTTAGGGGTTAGGGGTTTAGGGGTTAGGGTTTAGGGGTTTGGGGTTTGGGGATCTGGGGGTTTGAGGCCTATTGGGCCGAGAAGTGCAGCTTCGGTTGTCTGGGCTGCGAAATGGGCCCGATGCGGCTTCGGGAGGGCTCTGCCTGAGGCTGGCTATGACTCCCAGGTACGTCCTCTGGATCGCCAGGGCTGTGGTAGAGCCGATCACCTGAGCACAGAACCCTCGTTGAGGTGTTCGAGCCGGCTATAGACGAGATTCAACTACGCAGCCGGACGGTGGGGGTTAGGGTTTAGGAGTTTGGGGGTTTAGGTGCTCAGACCCCTCCCTCACCCACTCACAAAGACCCGCCAGTGAACAGACTCACATCAATGCTATACAGGCAGCTCGACCGAAAGTATATGTAAATCAATCTGCAGGCATCAGTATGCCACGAGGTCCTGCTGAGCATCATCAAGCACCCGCAAGCACAAAGTCGCGCCCTGAAACTCCGGAATCATCGATAATGAAGACCTCTTCATCCCTAACTGAATCTAATTTTGACCAGACTCCTTCTGCTTAAGGAAAACATAGGCTTTCGTTGAGGACGGAAAGAGGCGTACTTCTCGGCTCCATCATGCGCTACCCAGACGCAATGTGGCTTCTTGCGACGACGGCACCGGGACTTACGGTCTTGGGCTTTAGGCTTTTTCCCAGAGAGCCCAATACCCCTCAATTAAGGAATAGACCTTAAATCATAATATTAAGGCCCCTATATAATTTAAGGTATATTCCTTATAATTAGGGGGTATTGAGCTCTCTGGGTTCGGATACCGCTCCGGCCAGACCCAGACAGAGGAAGACCGAGCCCCAGTGAAAGGGGCCTGAGGAAGCGAGAGACCCAGACTGCAAGCTACATGTCAAGAATCCACAGCCACACCCCCGGACCACAAGCCGTCTGGTTCGTCAAACCCTCAACCACAACAAGCCCCACCTTCTCCCGAAATCCCCAAGAAACTCCATGATCCTCAGCACCTCAAGCCTCAAGCCCAACATCCCAAAAACATCGGCTACGTACTAGCCACTACTACTACTACTACTACTACTATTACTACTACTATTACTGCTTCTTCGTCTTCTTCAGAAATTTGAAAGCTCACCCTCACTGCTCGGCTCCCAGTCACCCACCACCAGTCGCATGCCGGACACGGAGAGGTCCATGGCGCGCTTCGTGGCGGCACTCAGAGGCACATACTCCTCGTGGGGATGTCGGTTCTGCATCTATCGTTTACAAGGGGCTGGAGGCTTACTTGTATATGAAAATACACATAGACAGAAGGCCAGGTACTCATGTATTCTGAGGACGTAGGCTTATGGCCTGAGGGTCTGACGGGCTTTGGCCTTCCAGGGATACATACACAGAAGCCAATCCCCCAACGCTTTTGGTCTGGTGCACAACGAGCGGATCTGCTGCCAGACCTGTAGATACATGCGAGCATCCGAAAACACCAAATGGTCATAGTAATACCCCAAGTCAACCCTTCAGCTGGAGTAACCCTGAACATGCAAGCCACCCGAAACCCACAGCAATCTGCATCAAGCTTAGCATCCTCTGAAACTAAACTCATAATTCAACCGCAAACCCCTTAATCGTGTAGACCCCGCAGCCGCCTCTTAAGCCCACCCATCTCGGGGGCTACGCCCACTGAAAGCTTCCGAAAGTCGAGGCCCTGGGTACTGCTCCCACCCTTTAACGGTCTGCACTAGGGTCATCTTTAAGGGCTGTATCTCAGTATATCATAGATGCCATCCTACTGTGACTGTGTGGGGCAGTACCCTAAACCCCTAAACCCCT